AACTAAATTGGGCATGTCGAGTTGTGTATGGGGGACGCATTTTCTTGCGATGCATCCTTGACATGACGAACTCCCTCATCTCCCCTACTGCCAAGCACAAACTGAAGTGCCTTGCTATTGTGTGTTATGATTTAGGTTTTGACTCTCAATTTAAAGCGACACCGCATACTTGTCATATAACATAAGCTTAATTATGTAAAATTACAGTCTGCTGTTCATCGTTTGTCAAAATACACTTCAAAAGACTTCTGGAATGTTTATTTTCACATCACTTCTTTTTTGTCTACACAATAGTTCTTGCTTCACAGACATTGTCTCTGTTATTTATTGCATGTTAAGTACACTTTCTTTTCTCACACCTTGCTACATACTCTCACTGTTATGGACACTAGACATCCCCGAGCGTCTTCACTATAACAAGAGTTGACTGTAGTGAGTTGGACCCAGAGACCCCGGCCTGTCTTCTGTCATCACCTTTTGCCATCGTGGTTCACAGCTAGGACTAAAACTAGCAGTTATGGAATTAATCATCAAAGCACCATGATAGTCTTTAGAAATGATTATTAATCAATTGATCAAATGGTTTGAAATGGTTTCTGTCAGTATTATCTTTGCGTATTAGTAACAAGTACCACAGACTACGCTTTCGGTGTTTACATTGAGGCTTAGAGTTGGTTTATGTGAATGCCACTTAAACAACTGAAATTATATTTAGTGGGTTTTTGCTTTCTTTTTTGTATTTTACATTTGGTTTTCATGGCTTTCATCCAAAAAAGTTGAAAATAATTCAATATGATTTTTGAACTGGTGCACGGAATTAGTGGTGAGCAATAAAGACAATGGAGTGTTTATGTCTCGGAACTATCAGTCTGATAGTTGCTCCCTGGAAATTTGATGTCCTTAAATGTAGCATATTTGCCTTCAAAGCTTCACTTCTTGGGTAAAGATTTGTTTTAAGAAGATCAAATTTCTGCGGGGCAACTATCTGCTGTTAGTTCTTGGACAGAAATGCTCTATTGTTTAAATAGAAATCTCAAGCTCATAATCTAATTGTTTAATAGTTTTGTTGTTCATGTTCATGTTCTTGTAATTATTGTCAGTGAAGTGACCTAGTTAATGGTAGTGAGTTGACTATGCCTAACTTTGCTTATATTTCACCCCTAAATTACACAACACAACAAGCCAGGCAGTGTATGGGATACAAGATAGCCTTTACTAATAATTACCTAAATACTCTAGTATTGAAGCATGCAGTCCTTAATTAAAATATAATAGAATAAAAATACTTCAGCATGAGAAACAAGTAAACTGAAGTTATGCAAGGTAAACCAGTTTTTTTTTTTTCTAAAGGAAGTTACACGCTATTAATATTGACAAGGGAGAGAATGAAATTCATATAAATCAAAGAAGCTGTCATTTGAAGTGTTTGAACACAGTAACCAGGGAGGGATCCAGAGGAGGGAAAACTGAAGCAAATGAAATAAATCTGCCAATGTTGCTTGAGCTTCAGCAATGCTAAAATGTGATCCAGCTCTGTAAGCAATAGAATATCCCGCTTGCCATCGTAAAATTACGCTGAGTAATAGTCTTGACCATATAGAGTAGTGATCATGTTGCACGTATCACAAAGTTGATGCAACGAAACGTGTACTCAAAACAATTACAAGCTTGCTTTATAAATCCTGCACCCCACACCAGAGCTACACTTCATAATTAAAACTGCTTCAGCGTGAAATACTGATGCATACCCAAAACCTTTCCTGAGCAGGAAGTACAAATGTCAGACCGGATCAACTCTGATATCCAGCCTGGGTTGGATCAACGTGGATTAGCTCAGATTGACTGGGATCAACTGGGATTATTAAAAAAATAATAATAATAAAATTAGAGGAAATGAAAACTTCAACCCATTTCAAGGTTAAAATTTTTCTCAAAAATAGGTCGAATAATAAAAAATGACTTGCTATGTTTCTCTGTGTCGTCAAGGCACTACTTTGTATTTTAAGTGCCAGTTCCTCTCAGATAGAGTTGCGAACTCATTTCCAATGCTTGGTTGCATGAGACAACCATTTGACTCTTCTTTTTTTTGAGGGGGGGGGGGGTTATTTTGTATAGGCATGAATGTTTTAAACCCTTTTACGCACAATGGATTTTTCTTTTGTATAGGATAGATATCTATTTTATGTTACATAGAGAGATAGATAGACACAACATCACCTTAAGGGAGCAAAATGCACCTGATTTTTCATCTTGGCACCCTTATGCCACACGGACTGAATGTGGCTTTCATATTTTGCACAGGTTGACATGCGTGTGCGCTTTTACCTATCCATTAGATTCTGGCATATAATTGTTTATTTCTTCAATGGCGAGTGCCATTCAGATCTTAGCACTGAGGAAAAGCAAGGTCCAAAATGGCTGCTATATAACTGAGTGGAGTCTTTTAGATTTTCAAGCTGGTCTGGCATGTTATTTAATCCTGAAATGATATCCAGACTCTACTATTTCATGCTGTGCTCCGCAAGCAGTAAAATATGTAAGATCGCACTGGAAGTCTGTTACTTTTAATGCCTTTCGTGATAAGTTCATGTCTTCTCTCTTACAAATAAATTTACCATTGAAATGTAAGGCGCTTTCCCAAACTGATAGAAAAAAAAGCCAGCTTAATTAGCCTACAGAAGTCAGATGGCCAACTTCCCCTCTCGTTTGCTTTTTGTCACAGTTGAAATCTGGGGTTGAAATAATTTCAACACATGCTGTCAGACACAGTATGGTTGTTGTTTTGTATTTTGATCTGTTCAGATGTTGCTCCATTTAGTTTGGAGAGTGACGGGGGAGGGTGATAATGACAAGGTGATGACATAGGGGAGGCTGAGGGAGCTAAAAGTGTCCTGATGTTTAATTTTTTTGCATCCTCTACACTGCTGCCATTGCGCTCAATCTTCATTACCACATCTCATTGCTTGTGTGCTTGAAAAAAAATTAGTCGTAACCAAAAATAAATGTCTGTTGACAGACTTCACTTGATCTGAATTGGGCAATAATAACACATAAAGCTGGCAATCTTTTTACACTCCAGGATTGCCAAATGCAAGTTACATGTTTACAAAAGAAATATTATTGTGCTTCACTATGTTTATATTACTGTACATGGGTGTCTTTAAGAAAGTAGTGATTATGAAGGACAAATACTAACTAAAATCTTACCCAGTATATATTTACATTTAGTATCTTTCCTTCTTCAGAGATCAGCTAGAAATATCACACATGAAATGCTACATGAAGAATCAACAAACTCTGTTTGGGAGAGAAGGCTGGACAGCTTCAAATGCCATGTGTTAATGAGGTACGTTGATTACAGATTACACATTCTAAGCTTTAAGCCAATGCGGGGAACCTTATTAGTTTAATGGGGAAGCTGGTCAGAAATTTTGAAAAACACATCTTTGAGGTGCCGAAATCATTCTTAACTTGAATAATTGCCTACTAATTTAACTAACTTTTTGTGCTGTGAAATTGAGACCAAATTTCACTCCTTTGGTCTTTTTGCCCTTCACTTCCTGTTGAACTGCTTTTTTATGTACATGTAACCATTGTATGAATGATTTACTCCCAAGAGATAACATTCTCGTCCTCAGAGGTCGCGCTCCTTTTGGTCAGCACCAAGAATCGTGATCTCTGGCCTGGTCCAACACCAGAAGTCCACAATTCACAGACTTCCCATCACCCTGTGCATGCTCGAAATGAAGTCTAACAAGTCTGATTGGCTGAGAATATGAAACAAATTCTCTGCGCATGCTCAGAAAATTGGGTCCGGCTATAGGTCACAATTCTTGGTGCTGACCAAAAGGAGTGTGGCCTCTGGGTACAAGAATGAAGTGATAATTGCTTTAGTGGCAAAGATTTCTGTCATGGATCAGTTAGATGGGGAGATGGACAAAACACTGAACCCCCCGTTCATGGACTGACCAATAGACTAACCTAAAATGGACTACCCCTAAAAAGTCTTTTTCAAGTGAGTACTACTCAATGTTCTAAGCTGCTAGTACACTTAAATTACTCCTAACTAGTGCACTTATCAGTTCATCCCACACAGCCTGTAGCTGCCATTTTGAATAACTGGACTTAAAAAGCAACTGGTCAGAACACAAAATCTTAAATGGTCCAAAAAGGGAGACTCAAACCAAATTTATTAATCATTTGATTATCAATCAGCTGTACCAATCAGTATCAAGAGCCTTGAAAGGGCAAACTGTATTGAAATGTGAGTGAGGAAACCAGTCTAATATTTGATTGAGGAATACCACAAGCTAGATGACTTAATGAATGTCTCACAGTGATTGTCAATCTTATTCCATGCAATGCGGTCAACAACTCAATGCACATGTACAAGTAGATGACAAAATAGGAGATGACAATAATAATGAATGGCTGAATAGCCAACCTTCCAGGAACAATATTATGTAATGATTTAAAGATCATTTTTTACATTAAATAACAAGGTAGTGAACATTCAGTTCCATATCTTTCTATTTAAATAGCCCTTTATTGTTCCAATATAATTCTGCAAGGAGACAGCCTGAACCTGAATGTTAAATATGTATTTGAGAGAAACACTTAGGTCGCAGTGCTATTAGAAGTTAAGTGGAATAGCTATTAGTAGTGGCAGGTCCAAGGGACATTCAAAAGGGAAGGGGGGAATTTTGGTCCTTACAGAAATTTGCAACTGTAAAGTAGGGTGAGGGGTTGCGTTATTAGAACTTGATCTAGCTTTGTATGTTGCAGAGCAATTAACAGAGTGACATAATTTCATCATAGACACTAGTAAGAATTATAGAGAGATAGATAGACACAACATCACCATAAGGGAGCAAAATGCACCTGATTTTTCATCTTTGCACCCTTACGCCCCTCAGACTGAACTTTGGCTTTCATATTTTGAACATCTTGACAGGCACATGCGCCTTTACCTATCCGTTAGATTCGGGTATATAATTGTTTATTTCTTCAATGGCGAGTCACACTGAGGAAAAGCAAGGTCCGAAATGTCTGCTATATAATTGAGTTAATTTTTTTTTATTTTGTATTCATTTGTTACTTTTTATAACTTTTGAACTGTTTACAGTGCCATGCAGCCACAGATCCTTTTGGATTACCAATGTTTATTGGATATATGTGAATGATATTCTTAGTATGCAAGAAACTTTTTGGCAGTGGTCAGGTGCATGATTTTTTGGGGGTGCAATTATCAGCTTGCAGGATTTTTTTTTCAAAATCACACCCCCTCCCGTTCAAAAGTCAAATGGTCGTCCCATGCACGACACACAAGTTTGCAACATGATGCGAGAGGAACTGGCTCTAAGAATACAAAAAGGTGGCTAGATAACACAGAGAAACACAGCAAGTCTTTTGGCCTATTTTGAGAGGATTTTTAATCTTCAAATGGTAAAAGCTTCAATTTACTGTAAATTTTTTTTTTTATGATCCAAGTTGATCCAAGTTGATCTGACCCAGACTGGCGATCTGAGTTGAACCAGCCCAACTTTTTTACCTGCTGTATCTGAGCTATATTATATAATAATAATAATAATAATAATAATAATAATAA